TAGGTAGATTGAAGAGAAAAGCGCCTCTTGATCTAAGTCATCAATTTTCTTGATGATAAGATTGAAACAACTTAGTAATTATTTATAAGAAATTATTCATGAGTAAACAGTTACGATTATATCATTATCATTAAAATATTGTTAATATTTACAACTATTGAGTTGTTTCCCACATGTCAATTATACAACAGCTGACAATTGTAATTTCCTCAAATTTACTAAATGTCCTTAACTGGACAGTTCTAAATAAAATTGAGAATAAAAAAAATAGAATTAGATTGGATCAGTGGTTAAAACATCGTGGGTTTCCAAATGAAATCCATTTTGATACTCAAATTATCAGATTAAAAAATATATTTTAAACAAATTTGCTGCAATCCATTTTATGCCTGAAAAGTCAATTAAAACGAGGATCTCTAGAAATGCCTTTTATGACACATGACTCTAATTTCACTTTAAATATCAATGAAATTAAAAATTATTAGCAATAGAACTACTTTAACCTTTTTCACTCGGATGCCGCCGCCCCGGCAGCAAAATTCATATGAATCTCGGAACCAGCGAGTGGATAGGTTAATGCTGCCTGCAGGATTGTGTATTTAATAACAAAACTAGTTTATAACCTACCTAGAACAATAAAGAAAAATTATTTATTCTACTTAGTAACATTCTGTTATCTTTAATATTATTTTTTATTCCTCAAACATAGCATTCAAGATGCAATTTCACCACCTATGAACATGTTACATGTAAGAGAGAAAAAGAAGTTAGATTGAATAAAATAATAAACGTATTAGAAGCCGAGTGTGAAAATAAACTATTAGAAGCCTAGTATTTGCAGTACATAATATAAAATTATTTTAACAATTACGTTTACATTTTTTTTTTAAATCTTATTCCCTAATTGTCAATCGGCGCCCTTCTCACCAGATCGAATGAACTGCGCGCTTGCTTGCTGCAGGTACAAAGATTAGAATGCGTTTCGTAACGATTACGCTTTGCTGATACGAGGGTTTTATCGCCGCCTTTCCTGCTAAAAATACATATTCCAGTTCCTGTTTAAATAATTCTCGGTATTTTGAATGAGCTATTCTAAATAAGTGTAAATGATACACTAGAACAGGTTGCCGGGTAAAAAATACACATCTGTTTGTTTTATAAAATGCCGAAAGATTAAACAATTACCACAAGGCGTATTTAGTTGAAAATTATATGATAGATGTATTATTTTAAATGTGCTTCTTAAATCAATAGTATATTAATGAATTATTCAATAAGCTCAGTTGCTGATGATATCATTTCAATTTTATTGGACACTTGGAAGTTTCTATCCCATTTCAAAATCTTACCTGTTTTTTTTAGTTTTTTGATTGCTAATTGTTTTAGGCGTAGGCGTAATTTTTCCATGTGTAATCATTGTGTCACAGTCAATGTTATTTCCATGTTATGTAAATGCAAATATATAAAGATGCGACATGTTCATTATATAATGGAACTAGTTTTATATTTCAATTAAAAAGCCTGAACATATAAGTTATTTGGGTAATAGCAATTGGATATTAGCTATTATTTATTCTATTTTATTTTTCATTTTATTTCATTTTAACATCACATGTTCAATTTATACAAAAATTGTTCTCTAAAAAATATAAATGGAAAATATTACAAACTCGACATTTATTGATCATTTTCTCAAATTGTATGGTCGTCTGATTGCCTAGTAGATGGGGCTCATTAGGGTCCAATGGCACCATTGTAACAAGTTGCTTCGGATAATTTTTCTATGTAAAATACCTATATTTGATCTACACCATTTCAAGACAATCTAAACAAGTAAGAGTACAATTCGCCATTTTGTAGACGACGCTATCGTAATGGCGCCAAAACTTGTTCGTAAATTATTGTATATATTATCGATCATAAAACTGCAATGCAACTCACTAAACTAATTAAAAAATGCAATAATAATTACTTCCACTATAAAAATCACTGAAACTTTTCCGGTTACTTCAACATCCATCGGCTTCGCAGCATTATGACCCGGGCGTATTTTAGCGCCCGGGTCATGCGCCATCCATGTATGCCTACCAGATGCTAGCACAAAAAAAAAATTTTTTTTGTAAACATTCAAAGAAAACTCCTCCTCAGGGGCCTCTTCTTATTCATGTATATTGTATCTAATTTTCCCACTCTATGAAAATATTTTAGTTATCCAGTTTTGCTTCTCTATGAAAATATTAGGGATCATTAAATTAGCTTGTGGACATCATTTTTGATATTGTATTCAAATCGTAACAAGTTTGGGGTTTTGTTATAAAAGTTTGGTCATTCTTGTTCAAAACTTTCGAAGGGCACTAGCCAAAGTACCTACTTATATTCAATATATCAAATTATAATCGCAGTTTAAACAAAATTTTTCTTACCAATTAAAATATTTTTTTTTTTTTGGTAAGTACCTTACCTAAAAGATAAAATTGAGATAAGGATCTGTTTATATTTGATGAAATCCATTTCACGAAATATGTTTCCAAGTGAAAGAGTATACCCCGACATAGCTGCATTAATCTAAATATATATCTTAAGTATTAGATAAATTCTAATAAAAAAGCTCATAGAAATTTAAACCCTTTAGAATCGGATGCCGCCGCTCCAGCGGGAAAATTCATATAAATCTAGGAATTTCGAGTGGAAAGTTTTGAGTTCTGGCTGTGTTGTTCAAATTCAAATAACAATAATAATGTTAAGCGAATTAAAGTTTTTTGTCAGTTTGAATCCCTAGCGAATGCTAATCTCACCTCAAGTCTACGGAAACCTTTTCTAGTAATCCAATATACTTGCTCTATATTTTAGAAATGAAATTATTCTGAGACAATTCAGTTACGTGAATCACACGTTATTGTTGTAACGTTTATTTCAATTCCATTTAAAATATTGACGATAAAAAATAATATATGAAATCAATCAAGCTAGTTACAATCAGATCTAAATATAAGTTCAATTATAAGCAATTTCTATCAACTTCAAATATGTGGATTCAATCTAATAAATCATGAATATTGTATAACAGGTTGCACCACAGCCATGCATGTCTGAAGTGATTTTATTTCAATATTTAAATCTTGAAATTATGTACTTCAAATTATTGTAACGGCAAGGATTTATTTTTATGCCGTGTAGCTGATGCAAATTTCTTGTTAGTAGCTATGAAGTATTTGTTTATTATTTATGGGTATATGTTTCTATTTAAAAAAAATCTAGTTTCACTTGGAATTTCAAGTACAGATTAATTTGCTCACATCCATCAGTATTAATGATGATGAAGCAGAAAACAAGGCTATTAAAGATATGATATTTACTAATTAGGTCATTATCTCTATATTATTAATTTTATGCATTTTTTTATTTCTGGTGACTTTCGCTTATAATAAAAAATAATGTCACTAAAAACTATTTGCATTTAATTGATCCAAAACAATATATTTATGCATATGAACGGTGTTTTTATTGAACTTAAGGTAAAAGTCGAACGACAATCGCGATCATAAAACATTCTTCACACCACATGGTAGCGCGTAGACCCATTCCTCGAGAACACCGGAATGGCTGATGAAATCTTGTAGAAATCACACTTTGAAAGTAGACTGAGCGGGTAAAATTCAGGTTTTAACTCAAAACGGACTTCCATTAATTTTTATCGACTTTGAATACTACGAGTTGAATTCAATTCACTTAATCGTCTCTATATATAAAATCCTTCTGTAATGAAAGGATACTACTCCTAAACAATTATTCGGATTTTGATAAAACTTTCTGAAGTTTGTTGGATTGTAGAAATAAATGAAAAAAATACAAAAAAACGCTTTTATATTGAAAATATTTTGTTACATGAGAACTGTCACCTGCCAAAAATGTCGATTCATTTGAAATTTGAATTTATTTAAGCGAGCCTAGACAATATTAGTATTTAATATCCATATTCATGATTATGAATAAGAAAAATGCAATATCTACAATATATTGCCGAAAACCAGTTGATTGAAAAAATGATTTAGAATTTTATTTTATGTGTCAAAAATTATTCGTTTCATCATTATCTTGGATTGAACAGATTTTACAAAATTGTTCACCTAAGATTTTAATAAAGTAGTAATGTTTAATAACTTATTAGTGTGAAAAAATGTAGTTTGAATGTGTAAATGCCAAAAAGCAGCTAATAGGGTACGCGATTATAAAAATTATAGACTATATATAAATTATTGAAGTAATTAAAATCATTTCACGGTTGGAAATAACAAGGGTGATATTGTTCTTTCACCGTAGATATTATATTTATTCTTTCTGAATTTTTTTATACTGATAAAAAAACTGCAGTTTGCAATACGTATATAGCTTATGCTAAGACCAAAATGGAAGGGCATCAAATAGAATTTTAAAAAGTATAGGATGTAGAATATTAAAAAATTTGGAACTTAAATTGTAGACGTGGTACAGGACACAGGTTTGTCGGGCATCTAGTATATATGTATATAAATATATATATATATATATATATATATATATATATATATATATATATATTTCATTGAAAACCAAATGCGGGTTGGAAATTGGATAAGAGGAATGTATCAGAATATGAATCGAATTGGTTTACTCAAGATTCCGTACAAATGTTTACCAATGAAAATAACAAACAACTATTTTCTTGCAAGAATTTTCTACCCACATTTCAT